CCTGACGGAGGCTGCTGGCTGCAGTGGGAGCCTTCTGCACAGGTCGGTGGCTGGGGTTCTGCGATGGGACAGCTCTTGCCACCTGTTCCCCGACACTAACACCTCGGCGCAGTCTAGCCCTCCCGAGTCAGAGCTGGGAAGCAGGGCTGGTCTGTCAGTGAAGGTCAGCAGGCACAATTAGCTAAGAGGACAGAAAGAGTCACAGAGCCACGGCTGTGCCGCGCACACTGTCCTCAGGCGAGTGCTGTCCCAGCGCACACCCTCGCCACCAATTCAGAAGCACGCGATGTCTGCAAGTTCTCTCTCCTGATTGGCGTCGTTCACAAGATACAGCTCCACGAACGCCGCCCATGGCAGAGCATCGCTCATCTTGGGGGACACAGGTTCGTCACGAGTCCCTGTGTGAAATCTCTCCGCCGGACCTGCCGCTGACGGCCCCGAGCACGCCAGAGCCCATGCCCAGGACTGCCCGCTGCCTGTCACGCGGAAGCCTGCTACACGCAGAGCAGCTGTGAGCGTCCGCTGTTTCCTCTGCAAAAATGGCTTGGTCCTGTTCCCCTGAAAATGAGGTCCCAGCAGATGTGGCCATCTCACCCCCAGAGAGGCCCCGAGTCGCCAGACCTCACTGGAATCGTGGAGGAGGGAAGCGGGGCCTCTGGAGGCAACTGCCGCCCGCTTGAGGACCGTGGGGATGAGCCCGGGGTGTCCGAGAGGCCTGGTGACAGACACCGAGCGGAACTCGGCCTGCGCCCCCTCCTGCGTCTCCTTCTCCATAAAGCCCCCCTGGACCTCCGCGGGCCTGCTGATGCAGCTGAGAAGTGAGAACGTTCCGCACTGGAGAAGCTTCCCTTTCTGACCGTCAGCCCACTGCCGCCCTCGCCGCTCCCCGGCTCAGAATGGCCGCCCCGAAGACGAGGCTGCTTTATTGAGCGCGGCCCAGGTCTCAGCTGCCACTCAACACCCTCATCAGGGAACCTGAGAGTTCTCATCACGAGAGGACAAGTCACAGCTGACCCCAGTGACCGCTGCCCAGCCTGCGGAGTTCCCTGGCCTTTCCCAAGTGCCCCAGCCGGCCCACACAGCTCTCCCCAAGTTAAAGGGACCTATTTCACGTTGAGAGAAATTACTAGACTCTGACTATAAAGAAAGGAGGGATTAATATCCTTTTTCCATTAAAATTAAACACATTTTTATCACTGAGAATTTTGGGAAAGAGTAAGGAAGATCACCACGCATCCTATGAGAGCCATGAGCGGCCTTCCTAGTCATTTCTGTTGGGTCTTTAATTCGGATTTCTGGAATAAGTTTAATTTTACTATAAATTATAGGACATCTCCCACTCAGTTCAACAGAGAAAACGATCTCACATCATCCCACAGAGTAAGTCCATGGTTCCATCAGCACTGACACCAGCCCTTTAACCCTCCCCACCTGCCAGTTTGTCACAGCCCACGCACCCATCACGTGATCTGCGAGCAGGCCTGCATAGGAACCGCTGCTGTGTGTCCACCTCACAGACGAGAAGGCCGAGGCTGAGGGACGGACGGTGGCTTTCCCCGGGTCACAGCCAGAACACAGAGGGCCGGCTGGAGACGCCACCATTCGTGCCCAGCGTGGCCCTTCAGGATGGCCACCACTCTCACCTCCTCAGCAGGAACCCCTGGGCGCCTGGCTCTGGTTCAGGCGCAGACAAAGCCGCCGCTGCCTACAGATCACCTGACAAGGCTGATCCACGACTTGCGCCGGCATCCTCGCTCTCCCACGCGGAAGGCAACATTTGCCATGTGACACTGTTTAAACTCTCCATGTATTCGGAGCCCTCTGTAAGCCAGCGTACATACAGCACCTAAGTCTCCCTCCCTCCCCCACTCCCCTTCTCTGAAGACAACGGCCCACGCCTGGTGAGGACACTGCCTGAACTCTCCCAGCCTGTGGCGTCCACGTCGGGCCAGCCTCCCTGCCTTTGCCAGCTCTCATGGCTGCGAGCTGCCAGCGCGTCTCCCTTCTTGATTTCCTGAGACGCCCATGAGGATCGCTCTCGGGTCCCTGCAGCCATCATGTAGTCCCGACACTGCACCCAGCGTGGCTAACAACACTGAAGCGCCGCTGCAACACAGGCCTCTCCCAGCGGATCAAAGCATAACTCCTTGTCTGCTTCAGAACGACAACAAAGTGGTATTTCTTTCTCTCCGCTTTATTTTAATTCTGTAATTTGGCCAATTACCCGAAAGAGCTGCTGGCAAGCATCTGGGAGATATCAGAGAAGGAAGCAAGCACTAATTGTCTTATTATGGTGGAACAATACAGTTCTCCAAGTTCCAAAACTGCATTCATGCGAAAAGCAGCCCCCACCCCCACCCGGTACAAACCCTGCAAGCGCTCAGCGTGACCCGTGTTACAGGAGAAGTGCAGGGCCCAGGGCCGTGCTGTACTGGGTTAAGCATCCGCCCACACGGGTGCCAGGTACAGTCCCGGCTGCTCCACTTCCCATCCAGCTCCCTGCTGCTGGCCTGGGAAAGCAGTGGGAGACGGCCCAAGTGCTTGGGGCCCTGCACCCACGTGGGAGACCTGGAAGAAGCTCCTGGCTTTGAATCAGCCCAGCTCCAGCTGTTGCAGCCATTTGGGGAGTCTCTGTCTCTCCCTCTGTCTGTAACTCTGCCTCTCAAGTAAAAAAAAAATGAATCTTTAAAAAAGAGAGAGAGAGAGAGAGAAAGAGAGAAGTGCAACTCCCGTGTTTGCCAGCCCTCGCACAGCCCCAGGCCGCCCTCCGAGCCCATCCTGCCCTCGGGCACTTCCTGGTTAACGGGTCATAGATCTGTTGGGAGAAAACCCTTTCCTCTCAGGACAAGTCCAGAGATAAAACACCCAGCTGCATTCCGGAAGGCCCTCATTACCCGACAGCAGTGGGGGGGTTCTTAGGAGAAATCTAGGGCCGATGGCCTCCAGTCCAGGGAGGACAGAGACCGAGAGTTATTCAAAATGCAGAACCTAACATTGAGATTGTACGTTCCGTCACTTGAAGATGACAAACGGCCTCTGGAACCCGCGTTACTCAGGCGGGAGCAGGAGGAATCCCTGTTCCTGTCGTTCATGAATGGGACAGCCCGCAGGTGGGTCAGTTACCGGGCCTCCCTCCCGGCCCTCAGTGAGCTCAGGGCTGGGGACCCCGCTTGCTCCTGTTTCCCCTCCTTTCAAGGTGGAATGAATGCCCCTCTCAGGGAATTAAAAATCAGCCCATGTGTGTGTGAAAGGCCTGAGACCAGCACCCACTGGGAAGCCCCAGAAGCCCAGCATCTCACTTCAAAGTCCCCCCCACCCAGACCCTGAGAACCTCCCAGGTGGTCCCAGCCCTTCCCCCAAGGAAAGCTCCCAGAATTCTCTCCTCAGGACCAAAGGGGTTACCTGACCTGATAACCTGGGGCAATAAAACCTTCACAGATGCCCTAAGGGGAGCCCCCCTACTCTGCCCAGTGCCAGCAAATCTGGGAGGAACTTGCTAATTTTCACCCAACAAACCCCATCCTTTGTCCTGGAGGAGAGGGGGGTGGGTAAACAGACTCCCTTAAAACCTAGGGAGTCCAGCCAGACTGTGCACTCAGCCCTCTGCTCTCTGCTGAGCCGCCCGCCCTGCCCAGGTGTGTTCTCTCCACTCAGCCATGTGACCTCCCTCTCCCCCAGTCCAGCGACCGGGCACTCTCTGTTCTTTCCATTCTGACGGACGCCCTGTCCCCAGTAAACCGTATCACTCCGCTCTCTGTCTCACGCTGGAATTCTTCCTTGTGTGAAGACAAGGACCCCATGGCCTCCACGGCCTTTTCTCCAGTGACAGCCCCATGCCCCAGAGGCTCCTGTGTGTCTGTTGTAAACTTTCGACCACGTTCTTTGCTCTGAACACGAGGGCCCCAGAGGCACACGGGAAGCACCAGGTATAAGAAGGACAGGTTGGGGCCGGCATTGTAACAGGTAAAGCCACCACCTGCAGTGCCAGCATCCCACATGGGCGCTGGTTCAAGTCCCTGCTGCTCCACTTCCATCCAGCTCTCTGCTTGTCACTCCCCCATTCACGGAGGAATGACACTGGACCCTGCACTGTTCTTTCGTCTGCTTGGCTCTTCCCGGGTTAGCTGCCGTTCCCTCACTCGTGGAGGAACGACGCCGTCCCGGGTTAGGGGCCGGCCCCTCCACGGGCACCCCCCGCCGCTTTCCCCACTTCCGCGAGGGAGCGGCACACCGCCAGCCGGCTCTCTCGGGGGCTGCTCAGGTGTTCCTTCAGATAGATGTTCCTGGTGCATGTTGTCTCTCTCCTCCTTTATAGTCCTCTTCCACCAATCCCAACTCTGCTACCCACACACCGAGTACACTGCTCTCCTCCAATCAGGATCAGGATCAGCTCCTACAGCTTATCAAACTGATGAGGCAGCTGCGTAGAGGTTGTTTGGTCTCTCTCAGCGCCATATTGTGGGAGAGCAGATGCATAGAATAAGTCTTAATTCCAGTAACTTAGTCTAGTCTCAGTTGCTCCCCACACTGCTATGGCCTGGGAAAGACGGCCCAAGTGCTTGGGCCCCGGCACTCACATGGGAGACCCAGAAGAAGTGCCTGGCCTCATAGCAGCCTCCAGACCAGGACTGGAGAGGCGACAGGGACTTCCCGAGCTCCTCCGCGGCCTCCACCCCACTCCTTTCGGTGAGGGGTCTTCACACCTGCCCTCAGCTCCACCCCAGCTCAGCTCCATCTCCCCACGCGAACCCTGAGGACAGAGCTAAGAGACTCCCCCACTTCCCACACACAACCTGCAGAGGCCTTGGGCTTCTCAAAGTCCCCTTTTGGGGGGGCTCTGTCCTGGGAAGGGGACAGGGCCCCTCTAGAGCCACCAAGGCCCTGACGCCCTCCAGAAGGCCTTCCCCACCTGCCACCCTCCCACCTGTGGGGGTCCCCAGATTGTTAAGACAGCCCCGGGGAGCCCTCGGCCGCCGGTCCCGTGGCAAGGGGCACGTTACCATGAGGGCTGTGTAGGTGTAGGGATAGTGGTAGGCCACGTAGCAGACGTCCTCGCCGTGCGGGAAGGTGATGGAGAAGGTGAGCGTGTAGTAGCACCTGCCGCGCGCGCCGCCGGCACCAGCCACATGCCGCACGTAGTGGTTCCTAGGAGAGGAGCACAGGGTGAGGCGGGGGCCGCGGGCGCACCCTCGCCTGCCACCTACGGGTCACAGAGCCCTCAAAACACACGGAGAGACACAGAAGACATGGACGTGCACAAGCGGACCTGCTGCAGGCCGAGCCAGCTCCCCGTGCCAGCCCTGCCCCGGCCTCGCCCGCAGGGAGTGCAGGCCACGGCCCCTCCGTGCTGGGTCTGAAAGCCAGGGTTGTGTGGGCACTGAGCTAGAAACCTGGGGGACTGCTGGGCACCCCGTTAACTCTCCTGCAGACGGAGTCTTCGTGACTCACAGGGCACCCCTAGGCGCTGTCTCTCCCTAGGCCGCAGGGGCTGCAATGCCACAGGGTAGGGGGGTGGCCATCTACCAAATCCACGCTTGAACCGAATTCTAAATCACGGCTGACGAACGTCATCTTCTGTTAGCATTGCAGCAGCCTGCTGTGTGGATGAAGGGGAGAGCGTGGAGAAGTTCATCGGTAGCTACAGGACCAGAACCCAGATCTCTCTGGCTGAGGAGCCCTGTTCCGTCCACTCCACGACGCTCATTTCTCAAGGGACCTGTGCGTCCCCCACTGCGGTCCAACCCCGGGCGGCCCGAGAAGGCACAGTCCCTGTGTCAGGAAGAAGAACCAATCCCGATCCTTCCGGGAACAGGCGCAGAGGAAGTCACACCTAGAAGTACATCCCTGCACGCTGCCAGCCACGCTCTCGCTGCCTGCTGACGCCGAGACAGCCGTCAGGGCGGCACTGCGACCCAGAGCGCACCCCGACACCACCACCTTCAAACACACGGCACTGCTGCCCGGCCCCGGTGCTGTGGGGAGGGAGGAAGCAGCAGGCAGTTCTTGCAGAACATAAGGGCTACGGGGCATTCTCCTCCGCCTTCACGCCGCCCTCAAAGCAAAACAGCAAGCGTGTAAGAAAGAAGCGGACAGAAATGCCTACATCTCGTGCTTTGTAACAGAAGAAGTATTTCTAAAAACTATGAGGAACGGAGTCGGATGAGCTGGTGGCCCTGCCGACTATGGCTGGAGCCACTGCTCAAGCCTCAGCCTCTGACAGCCACAGGCAGCCCTGACCACTGGGGACCAGAAGATGCCGTAGCCCCCCGGGACCCCCGGGACTGCCCCGTGCACCCCTGCGCATCCCCGCAGATCAGAGAGTCCGCTTCCTTTGCGCCTGTGGTGTAGAAGCTTCCAAGGGGGTGGTTTCCCCTGAGTTGTCTAGATCTTGACACCGGCGCGTAGCTCTGTTCTTCCTGATTTCCCGCAAGTTTTTCCGAAAGCCAGGATGCTGGTCCCTGGGAGGTCTGCAGAGCAGCAGGTGGGAGCTCAGAGGCCTGTGGTCGCACGCGCCGTCTCTCTCCTGCTGAGATCGCGCTAAAGCCCACGGCAGACGTGCGCCCAGTCAGCAGCCCCTCCTCACAATGCAGGAGCCGATGGAGATGATGTGAAGGGGGAGGGATCACCTGGAGACACATGCGTGTGAGTGAGCACACACATGCGTGCAGCAATGTACCAGGGACAGCCACTGCAGACACCGGGGAGGGATCACCTGGAGACACATGCGTGTGAGTGAGCACACACACGTGTGCAGCAATGTAGACACGCACGCAGGAATGTGTGGTGGAAGTGCACACCCAGGCCTTCACTGCCCCCACGTTCCTCCCTGACAGACACCGAAGGCCAGGCCCTATCTCCACTGGAGGACAGAATGTCCTGAGGGCCCGAGGATGGTCTGGGGGGTCTCCCTGAGCTGGGGTCTGCCCTGGCACGGCCACACTCCCCGTGGGTTCCCCCACCCTGCCTGGAACAGCGGAGTCGCTCGCCCAGGAAGCCCCGCTGCAGACGGCAGCCACCAGAGCACGGGGAGAGCGGGTGGGCAGCTGAGATCCCCAGAGGCCTCGGGCCTCTCCCCACTCAAAGCAGCCCTGGCTCTGAGGGACAGCAGTGGCCGCAGAACGGGAAGCGGCGCAAGGCGGGCCAGTCCCCAGCTCCCAAGTCCCTGAGGGCCCAGGGCCCAGGGACGCACAGAAGCATCAGGCCTTCCCAGGGTCACGGCAGCTGCTGAAGTCTGGCCTCTCACCTGCCTGACGCAGCCCCGATGTGCCGCCGGGTGGGGTGGGACTGTCCTGGGCAAGGCTGCCCGCCAGCCCTCGCAGGACACTTGCTGGAGGCCCACAGAATGGGACGCCACCTCATTTAGAAGCAGCTTCAGCGGGGGGGGGGGGGGGGGGGGGCCAGCTCCGTCCCTCCCCCGGGTCTGAACTCCCGGCTGCACCTGCTCTCAGTGGAGTCACCTGGCACTACCTGGAGCAGGTGCCACCCAGGAGACGGCCCCGCCCCCAGCTAGGCAGGCCTCTGGTTTAGAAGCCTTCTGCTTGGTGGTGACTCTGGCTGTCGTGGGAGCGCGGTCTCACCCGTGGGCGGTTTCTGTCCTCCCAGTTATGACGTGAACATACGCAGCGAGGTCTGCATGGCGGTAACACGCATCTTTCCTGTCCCACCTGCTTCCCATGTCCTCCCTCTGTACGCAGAGCCACCTCCCATGGCCTCTCAGCTTCAGGTCTCCAGTGTCTCCTGCAAACCGCCCCCCGCTGGTGCCAAGCCCCAGCCACGCTGTGCCTCCCTCACTGCCAGCTCCCCACAGCAGGGCCTGGGCTACACAGCTGTGCACCCTCATGCTGGGTGCAGAGTCCGGCCACAACAGCTGCTCATGTAAAATTGTAGAATAACCAGGCCTAACTCCAGGAGCAATCGTTAGGATGGCCGTAACCACTTTAATCCTAACGACATCCTTCAAGGTCACTATCATCGCACACGTCCTACAGAAGGGAACATGGAGGTGCACGCATGTTCATCGTCTTGAGAAACCACGTGAGCACAGTAAACAGGTTCAACCCTCCATGGGCGCTTACTTCCATGACCACAGTTTGTATCATTGCCATCAGCAGCCTCTAGGGACTGGGCAAAAAGAGGTCTTCCAGCCAATTCAGCGAGTAAGAAATCTGACGTTCTGGACTTTGTAGACCGGGGTTGCCTGTGAACCGAGGGTCTAAACCCCGGGAGGAACACGCAGTAATCGGGAGAGAGCTGGTGGAGACCGCCTCACTGCCTTGGGCCCAAAGTTCACACTGTTCCTCCCCTTGTCAGTGCTGCGCTGACCAACACTCCTCCGGCACCTGCTGTGTTCCGGGCGCTGTGAAAGCTCCCGGGCGTTTGTCTCCTGCCACTGGCCCTTCAGAACGGCTGTGGCAGGCAGAACTGGCCCCACTGCACAGAGAACCGCAGGGCGAGAGGAGCTGGGGGTGATTGCCAGGGTCCCTTCTCAGGGTGCAACGTGCTTCCAAGAACTGCCCCCCAAGCCTGCTCTTCTAGGTGAAGCCTGGCACCACTCAGCTGAGCCCTCGGGCCTGCTGGGGGCCCAGCCAGAGGCATCCAGCCACCACGTTCAAACGGCCCCCTCTGCTTCCCACCCCTGGGCCCTTTATCTCTGGAAGGAGTGCACTTCTGTACCTCTAAGCCTCCAATGAGGCGAGCAGGAAACACAAACACATAGTTAGGAACCCAATCTGTTTCCATCTGTACTTAGAAACCCGCTGGGAACTCCTGTCTCTCTGGGTGTGCGTGAAATGAACAAGCGCCACGACACAGTGAATCAGGTAATCTCGTAACGAGGACATCTGCTTGGCAAGTGTGCATCGGCCAGAACAGGACCTCACAGGGCAGAGCGGCCACGTCCCGGCCAATCGAGACTGCGTCACCCAAGTGCAACCCCAGCTCTGGATGCAGACGGCCACTAACCCTGCTCGGAGCCATCACTGATGATCGGCAGAAACTGCAAGCACAAACGACCAAGAAAGTGGCCCACAGACCCAGGCTGCCCCACTCGCGGCACCCGCTCTTTCCAGAGAATTCTTGTCTGGGTAAAACAATCGTTGGATCCGGAATGTGAGGCTTAGCCCAGACTGTTCACATTTCTCATTCATATTTCTTGCTGCTGGTGCTGTGGTATCCCAGCAGCCTGTGGGTGACCCACAGACCAGGCCGCCTCCCTCCCCACGGCGCATCCACCTTGAAGGAAACGAATCCTTCCCTCTGCCCTTCGCTGCCGTATACCCGAGGTACAAATTCACAGAACACGGAATTAAAAGACCCGTCTACTGTGCTGCTAAAACGAATACTGAAATGCAGGCATCTAGAGGGCCTTCCTAACGTTCATGGAAAATGAGATTGTGGAAAAGCTGTGGGTGGGTCGCGAGGTCTTTTGTTCCAACATAAACATCCTTTGACTCCATTTTCCACGCGCATTTTAAAGTCCTCCCGCATTCGCTCACAGTTCCCCCGCCATGGAACACCACAGCTGGCCAGAGCATAGTAACACGCCATGGACCATAGCAACAAGCCATAGACCACAGTAACACACCACGGACCATAGTAACATGCCATGGACCATAGCAACAAGTCATGGACCGTAGTAACACGCCACAGACCATAGTAACACACCATGGACCATAGTAACATGCCATGGACCACAGCAACACGCCATAGACCATAGTAACACGCCATGGACCATAGCAACACGCCATGGACCATAGCAACATGCCATGGACCGTAGTAACATGCTATGAACCACAGTAACACGCTATGAACCACAGTAACACGCTATGAACCATAGTAACACGCTATGGACAAGGAAGTGCGGGCCCCGAGTTCTCCCAGACTAACAAAGTCAAGCCGAGGATGAGGCCAGGCAACCTAGTACACAGATCAGCTCAGGGACTGCGATGCCCGCGAGATACTGCATAACAGAAGGCGGCTACAACAGGGAGAGGTGTTCTGATTCGTGGGTGAGTGGAACTGCACACATCCATCCAGTTGTCAGACCCCATTACTGGAAAATGTGGACATAATGTGTGAGTAATTGTGAAACAAGCCACATCACAATGCAGCAGGCTTATCCGCTCATCTGCTGTGTTCAGGCTGCGGACTTCATTCCACATTCGTGGTTTCCACCCCGCCCTGCCCTTGCTCTTTAATCACACAATTGTCTTGTTAACGAATCCAAAAGCCGTTCACATCTGCTTTCTCAGCCGGGGCTGGACTCCTGGTTAGGACTTTTCCTCTGCTTTTGGCTAACGGAGGCCCCGTCCCGAGAGCCGCATCCACCCACCAGGAGGACACCGGCCGCTCCTGTGTCCAGCCCCTTCTCAGGTGCCAGAGCCGCGCCGGCCTGCAGCCGGGTCTTCCGAGTTCTAGTGTCACCGTCTTCAGATGAAGCCGAGGTCATTCCTGCACAGATGTGGTTTTCAGACTCCTGTCCTGCAGCCATGGCCTCTCTCGCCCTGAGGGGGCTTCCAATCCACGGCTCTTTCATGAAAAGACCGGAGAATCCTCAGGGTGGACGCCAGAGGGTAGCTGCACTCCGGTGAACGGAAGGCAACAAAGCCACTGCGTCTGCTGCTGTTTAGAGGACGTCTGGAAGCCGTGCTCAGATTCGGTCACGTTCAAGGGCCGAGGCTGCCGGCTCCGACTCCACTGCAGGGTCAGCCCGGCCCCGGTCTCCGTGCTGGTCTCCGCCTTCCGTCTGACACAGCACAGCGGCAGGAGCCCTGCCCCCACCACCTTCACCGTCCCCACGGCCCAGATGCCTGGGACACACACCCTCTTTCTTTCTTTTCTTCTTAAACTTTACTTAGGTATTTGAAAGGCAGAATTACAGAGAGCGAGGAAGAGACACAGAGGTCTTCTATCTGCTGGTTCACTCCCCAGATGGCTGCACCGGCTGGGACTCACAGGCGGCCGCCGACCCCGCTGTGCCACGACACAGCCCCCACCCCACCCCCTCTCTGCTGGTGATACAACCTCAAGCTCTAGAACGTCTGGTAACAGAATTTAAGGGCATCTAAGCCAAGACTGACTTCAGCCAAGAAAATAAGTACCAGCCCATCAGTTTTTAGAAGAAACTGGCAATGAGCTAATGGATCCTACATGCCCTGACAATTCCTACCCTTTTATGTCTCTTAGACTTGAATTTTATTTTCCACCATAGGAAAATGCACACAGAATCAACTCATGGGTCTCAAACGCATTTCTTTCACCCCAAGACAGGCGTGTTTTAGCTTCATTATAAACTGACGGCACTGGCTCCTGAGCTAGGGCTGCAGGTGAAGTTGAAACCCACCCCCTCTGCTTCCACCTGATCACCCTGCGCGGCAGCTGCTCAGGTGCGTGGTCCACCGGGAAGGAGAAGCCCAGGTGGGCAGAGCGGGCCAGCGCCTCCCGGCTCGTGGGAACGGCCAAGGAAGAGTGGCTTGGTGCTCGCCTTAGTGCCCCGGGAGGAGGACAAGCCATGCCCAGCAAACCAGAGGCCGCTGCCTGGGGTCGGCTTTGGGCGCCGCTGCCTTGCTGTGCCTCGAAGGGCGGGCATTTGCCACTGGGACGGAACAGCCACAGAGCAGCATTCCAGCCCACGCCGCTGGGGTTTGCAGACGGGTGTGGAAAAGCCACAGAGTGAAGACAACCCCTGGCTTACCTGTAGTAGCAGACCTCCGAGCCCGCCCGCACCCAGCTGGGTCTGCCGAGGAGGGCCTCCTTCATGGAGTACAGGGTCGGCTGCATCCCTGCATGGGACGAGAGCGGGCTCAGGCCAGGAGGAAGGAGAAAGGGACACAGCCTCGGGGGCAGGCTGCGCGGTGGCCTCCAGGAAGGTCCAGGTCCCGGGCTCTGCGCGCCGTGAGTGTGAACCGGGCGTGGCCAAAGAGGCCTCACAGAGGATCCTGAGATGAGGCGACTGTCCCAGGGCCCCATGAAATCCCGAAGGCCCTTTGCAAGGGAAATCTGCCCAGAGGAGCCGCGGGACAAGAGCAGAGACACCCTGAGCACGTGGCTACGCTGGCTCCAGAGACGGGAGGGGCAGTGAGCCACGCACGCGTGGGGAACACGGCAGTGCACACGCCTGGACTGCGGCCCCGACACACGCACCTGGACTCTGGGGCCCCAGAAGCCTGAGGGAAGGCACAGATCTTGTTTGTGGCAATGGCCACAGCAGCCACACAGAGTGGATGCGAGCGTCAAGTCCCCATTTTCCCTTTCTGCACCACCAAGGGTCTGTGTAGTCAGCACAAAACACAGGCAGCCCCTCCCCTGAGCCTGGGCCTAGACAGCACCCAGCCGTTAGTGCAGGAGCCAGCAGGAAGGCACCCTGGGGCCACAGGTCAGTCGTGGGCTCCTGGATGTCTCCTCCAAAGTGGCCACAGGGACCCGGGAGAGTCTGAAGTTTCTCCAGTTTTCCGGGAGTGTACGTCGGGGTGTCCCTTTGGCTCCTGCTCTGCGTTGCGACGAGCAGGTGCAAACACTCGCTCCCAGGGGACTTGGGAGATGGCGGTAGAGAATAATCAAGCCGGCTGGGCAGCCTCAGTGAGTGCAAGGTGGGCAAAGGGAGCCTGGAGGCAGCAGAGGGCCCTGTGCAGGTCAGCTGCCCGCCCGGGGTAGAGGTGGGGCCCAGCCGCCCCTCCGTGCTCACAGCTTGCTAAGTGCCACGCCTGACCACAAAATGTGCCAGCCCCTCTGGCACCAAGCAGGGCTTCTGCTGACTATCCAGACACATCGAGAAGTGCCTCTCTCCTGGTGCTACCGAGACCCCCCCCCCGCTGCCCCGCTGCCCCTGGGGCGCGTACCGTAATTGAACTGGCTGTTGGGCTTCTCACAGTTGACGATGCTGAAGCGGTACCGGGTGGCAGCCCTCATCCCGCTCACCTGGAAGTAGAACCACTGCTGGTGCTGGGAGCTGCTCAGGTCGGCGTTGATCAGCAGGTCGTACTCACACCTGCAGTGGGGCAGGGTTGGAGGGTCACCGCGGGGTCCTAGAGGAAACTTCCAGAACTGGGCACAGGCATTGACAGTCAAGGTGGGGTGGGGGAGGGGCTCCCGGTACCAGAAGGGTCCGTGACACAAGGACAGCTGCAAGTGTGCCGTGTGCAGGTCCCAGAGAAAACTCAGTCACACCTGCCTCTGGCTCCCCACTCCTACCTGCGCCTCAGGGAGCAGCACCTGCACGTGCAGGGCTGTGTGCAAAGACGAACCGGTTGGGTGATAGGAATCCCCCACGGGCAGCCACACGCACCAGGCTGGCAACACAGTGCTGTTCGTCCCGCCTCTCTGTTTTGAGGCAGAACCTGCGTGTGGCCAACCGTTGCACACATGCTAAGTGCAGGGGTCAGTGGGTCGCCCGCGTTACCAGCACCCAGACACAGGCTGCTCGGAGCACCCGGCAGGCCCGCCTGTGTCTCTTCCCAGGTGCCTTGTCTCCAAAGTTAATTATTTTCAGAACTCTGCCCACAGAATTAGCGAGGCGGTTTTGACTTACACATCATGACCAGGATTCGTAGTCTTCAAAAATATTGCCTCATCCCCTTGGTATCTGAGCTGTTCTTTTAAAAAGAACACTGCCGTGTCTTGATCCATCTACCCTCTCCCAGGGCGGACCCCAGACACGTGCACGTGACGGCTCAGTGAGATGGCAGGGGAGGGCAGCTCAGTGCAGGACAGAGGTCAGCAGGGCGGGGCTCACTGGTGCAGCCCCACCTTTCTCAGGGTTGTTAGAATCACCACACACTGACCACAGGGCTCCCCAGGCCGCATCTGAGGGGCACCTGGCCACAGCAACTCGGCAGGGCCTGACACCCTCCCAGTGTCTCTACTCCCACACCGAGGTCAAGACTCCAGAGCAGGTGAGTCTGTTTTCCTTCCTCTTGCTCCACTACCCTGCCCACAACTGATCAGTTAAGGATCCTACACACGGGTCAAAGCCAGAGCAGAGACCTAGGCCAGGCCAGCAGCCCGGGCACAGCCCGGACTGACAACTGCCCTCCAGGAGACGTCCAGTCGGGCCTGGTCTCCTGGATCCGGTGCATGTGACACGTGGCGAGAACCAGGAGTGAAAGTGGCAGCCACGGAAGCAGGCGCCGAGCTGACCTTGACCTGGACTTGTCTCTGGGTGTGTGGCAGGCTTCCTTGAAGTCTTTCACGTACCAAAAGTAAATGAATGAAAAACACCCTTTATCTCCCTCAAAACAGAATGACTCTGGGCAGATGCAAAGCCGGTCTGAGCTTTTCCAAGAGCGGAGCCCATCACAGGGACGCTGCAGCCCTGAACAAGAGCCCACGCCCACTGCGTCTCCCCTGCCCAGGGCACTCAGCGCGTTCTGTAACTCCCAAACCCACCCAGGCCACTGCCATTGCTGCGCACGGCGTGCGTGAAACACAGAGGCGCGGTCTGTGAACTCGCGCAGTCTCCCCTGGAAGGGGTGAAGGGGCCCTCACGGCTGGACCCCAGCGTCTGGGCCACCGCCCACTCGTGCCTGGGACCCTCATTTCCCAGCCTGCAGAAGCCAAGCACGCATCTCGCCTTCGGGTGTCAGGAGACAGGGTCCACCCAGCCACAGCAGACGGAATCACACCTCAGCGAGAGCAAGCCCGCTCCGCCGTCGCCTGGGCTCGGTCCCCTCAGCACCCCTGGCCTACGAAATCCTTCTCTGCTCCTCAGAGGTTCTGCCAGGGAGGCACGGCACTGTGCCTTCTCTTGAATAAACGTTTCACCATCACCATGATTTTTGCGAGACCAACAGACACAGGGAGATGCCGGAGCGGGGAGCCCCACAAACTCCATGCTGGCAGAACGAGGCCTGGCATCCATCAGACACAGGTCTCCCGTCAAAGGGCTCTCGCACCCCACTGCGGACTCTGTCTGCAACGTAAGCCGTGTTCATAACCGGTCACCTCTGGCAAGCAGGGCACCTAGCTGTGACCACAGCTCGTGAGCACCCTGGGGTGATCACTGGTTAACATCTGAGCTCTGAGAGGAAGAACCTTCATCGGCACTGATTGCCAGCGTCCAGGGTGTAACCCCTCCCAGCACGGCTGATCCCAACCCCTACGGGAGGCCGCTGAATGAGAGTGGGAAGAGAGGGTCACAGATTTCTCTCTCAGTGCCCCCAGCCCTGTCCCCCACCCCGGCTCCCCACACTTACTCCCGCACTTGGATGGCTTTGCGAAGATTTCCTGACTCAAACTTGGAGAAGAACCTTAAGCTGTTGGAATCAGTGTCCTGTAAAAGCCTGGAACGAAATTGAGAAGACGTGAGCACAGCATGGCGGGCGTGCCTGGACACGGTCCGACGTTTACTAAAGACAAGCCTTCCCCTACAGAGCTTCTCTCTAAGGTTTATTTATTCAACAGAATTACAGAGAGAGAGACAGATCTTCCATCCACTGACTCACTCCTTAAATGGTGACAATGGCCAGAACCAGGAGCTTAATTCAGGTCTCCCACAAGGGTGCAGGGCCCAACCATCTTCCATTGCTCTTCCCAGGCCACTAGCAGGGAGCCAGATTAGAAGTCAGTGGCTGGACGGCGCCGCGGCTCACTAGGCTAATCCTCCACCTAGCGGTGCCGGCACACCGGGTTCTAGTCCCGGTCGGGGCGCCGGATTCTGTCCCGGTTGCCCCTCTTCCAGGCCAGCTCTCTGCTGTGGCCAGGGAGTACAGTGGAGGATGGCCCAAGTGCTTGGGCCCTGCACCCCATGGGAGACCAGGAGAAGCACCTGGCTCCTGGCTTCGGATCAGCGTGGTGCGCCGGCTGCAGCGCACTAGCCGTGGCGGCCATTGGAGGGTGAACCAACGGCAAAGGAAGACCTTTATGTCTCTCTCTCTCACTGTCCACTCTGCCTGTCAAAAAAAAAAAGAAGTCAGTGGCTGAGACTCAAACTGGCACCCGTATGGGAGACAGCGGCGCTACCAGCTGTGCCGCAGTGCCAGCCCCCTCGTGGGTCCTGACCCAAGTGCTCATGGTGCTCTTTGTGGGAGCAGCAATGTATTATCCGGGTGACATAACCCTGTATCAGTCCAGGGGCAGAATCCCCTACCCCCCCACACACCATGGATGCACGAGACCACCTACCCAGGCTCATCCAAACTGAAGACCACCTTATTTAGGACATCACTAGGCTGGATCAGCCTCCGGATATCCTCCAGGATCTTGATCCTGGAGAAGAAAATTGGAAACATTTAAAGGGCCGACCCTTGCTCCTGTCCCTTCTCACCCTACGGTCACCTGGGAAGGACCTTGGAGAGGCCCAGAGATGCACAGGGAAGTCAGGGGCGTAACCGTGCACAACCTCATGCCCCAGGGCACACAGCACCGCCCTGCTTTCTCCTCTTTACGGCTGTAGTAGGAAGCTGTGCGCTTAGATGTCTGCGAGGGGCTTCGTGGCTTGACAGGGGCCTGTCAAGTACATTCAGGCTGGGGGTGGGGGGCGGCCTGCACTTCTCTGGCTGCAAGGATAAGAGGACCCTCGGCACAGAGCTTGGAGGGGGACATTGGGCTTCTGGTGGCAGCATCCTCACGCTCTGGGAGGCTCCGGCAAGCCCTGTGTCCCCGCGCCACTATGTTCCTGGTGCACGGTCTGCTGCAGAAGCCTGGGGCCAGCCGTCTGCCTGAGGGCCCCAGGCTCTGGGAGATCCGAGCAAGAGGGAGGGGGATCCCGGGAGGCCATCAGGTTCCCCCCCTGAATCTCTAGTGCACTGGGCTGGGGTGGGAGGAGAGTAAACAGGAGCAGGTGCGAGGCCTGACTCAGGGGGGAGATGGCCATGCAGGGCCCAGAGGTGCTGGCCAGCCTCGGGAACTTAAAGACGACGAGCATGGGGCCAGAGGTGCCGGCCGGGAACGCAAGTGGGAGCAGTGCCTGGAGCCGTGGTCCAGAGAGCACTCAGGCGAGAACACGGAGGGCAGGTTAACCGAACCTCTCGGCGGCAGGCTTTGCTCCACGCTCCCCCATTGCCAGGGAAAACACTCGCTTGCTGGGCTTGGGCAGTCCTCACTGTAACCTAGCAGTGCGGAGCCAAAGGCAACGTTTGCTTTCCTGCGCTCCGGGAATAATCCATCTCCCGGTGCCTCTGCCCCGGAGACAGCTGCTCCAGCCCTCCTCAGTGACGCAGTGGAATTGTTCCTGACCAAGCCAAGATCTACAAGTCAGGGTTGCGGACAAGGGACGCAAGCTCCTCTCTATTAGCGAGAGGCCAGAGGGGAATTTGAGGAAAACACATCCCAGTAATCAGCTCTTGGCTTTTCTGGACGCTCCCTCTGAAGACAGATTCGGGGATTTGGAGAAACTGGACACCTTTCGCTAATGTCGCCATCTGCAGTGGGTGTGAGGGAAGCTTAATTAGGGCTCTCCAAGGAATTGGTAGCAGGGACACATGTGCTCGTCACTGCCCCGCACTCGCCTCTGCAACGGGCCAGCCTGTGTGTCTGGCAAGTCTCCTAAGGGTTTAGCAAGCTCCTGACTAATGCTCACGCCCCTGCAGACAACGGGACTGTCTGTACAAACCGCTCCGCCCACAAAACACTCAAGAGAAAATACACTCCAGTCAGTAGCATCGGCACCTTTGGATGCCGCATTTGCGCTCCAACATGGACTGGGCAGAGGGAGGTGGACGGTGTCCCCAGAGATCGGGAAAGGCCAGCATCTCGAAGTCCACCACGGATCTGGTCCTTTTGGCTTTGGCCATGAAAAGATGGGGATCGTGGAAAGCCACGTGGGTGGGGCGTGACTTCAGGAGCTCCTCCAGCTCGGCAGCCGTGTCTCCGCATCTAGCGGCAGTGCAGAGGAAAGCGCTCAGCCTTGGGCAGGAGACCGCTCCCAGGCCCCGCGCATCCTCTTCGAGGGGAGCCTGAATGCCGGGGCTTTCATTTCCAGGAGAGGCCGTCCCAAGGCCGTTGGCTCGTCCAGCTGGGTGCAGGGTCGTGGCAGGTCTGCTCCTGGCCCCCGCCGTCTTCACCATCCTCAGAAGCGAAGCCTGGATGGTGTCTTCCCTTGCTCGCTCCTGGGAGCCTTGGTCCTGACCCACGCGAAGCGGCTTTGGGGAGGCGGCAGCCGGAATGTGCTGGTGATTGGCACACCCAGAGTTCAGGTCACCTCCAGACTGGGACTCCAGTTCCTTTGGGTTTAAAATGGAAAAGAATATGAGCTTGGACCAATGCCAGCCAAGGAAGACGACTCTTCACGGCTCAAACGGCAGAATCCCAGAACTCCGTGTCGGCAGGAGGCCTGGGGGACCTGGCGCAGTCCTCTACAGCACTGGCCTGGGGTCTGCTGGATCAGCCTCGGAACAGGGGCCGCCCCGCACCCTGAGGCAGTGCCTCGTACGATGATTCTGACTGTCAGAGATAGAGGCAGCCCTGGAATCCTGGTGGCAGCAGCAGCAGCCGCTACCAGGCTCCGGCCACCATCCCTAGGCCGGAGCCTGGACGCAGCACGGCCACCGGCAGAAAGCGTCAGGATGACTCTCCGCACTGGCCAGAGAGCCATGGCGTCTGCTTTCTCCGTGCCCGGGGCTGGACACGTCGGCCACCAGACGGCACGTGCCCCGGCTCCATGCAGGGCGTCAGCTTGCAGGGCCTCGCTGGCATCGAGCCTGGCCGCCCCCTCCCATTTCTGCTTGTTTCTCAGAGAGACCCCAGAGGCAGCCTGCCCGGGTGGGGTGGGGTGGGGGAGCCATGCTTCCATCAGGACACCTCTGCTTGCCCCCCCGCGTCCGCAGAGCCGGCACACATCAGCAAGGGCAGAGCCACAGCCGTGTCCTACCTCAAAGCCACAGGAAAGCTCAGGACACATCGCCTCATATTGCAGCAGCTCCTCTTCTGGCCGGTCTAGGCCAGGTTTGGCGGTCAGCTTGTCCACATCTGTTTCCAGGTCATCGTCCTACAGTGGAACAATCACATGGCAATCAGGGGAGCAGCCCGAGACCAGACACCGCGTGTTTCCTCAGAGCTTGGTAGGGTTCCCTGTCTCCAAGTCGCAGTGTAGACCGGTCCAGCAGAGAATCGAATGTGCTGGGTGGTGTTTTAAAAACAAGAAAGGAAGAGGCTATGCAACTCTGTGTCACTACTGTGTCAGCATGTATTAGCCGGCATCATACGTAAGTAACGCTTTGTAGCAAATGAGGTGGACTGAGCAAACTAGGAGCAGCACACAGAAGAATGCTTTATCTCATCACCCCGTCCCTGGGGTCATGGCGAGTTTTCCCATATTCTTCCATCTACATCTGTCTTTGCTGTTTCCACACACACTCAACAAGCACCTGCTATGACCAGGTACTCGCCCAAGCCCTGGAGATTCCCTAACAATGCAACAGGCATGCACCCCTGCCCCAAGGAAACAATGCAACACACACACACACCCCTGCCCCTGTGGAATCTGTCCTCAGGGACCGGAAGACGCCGTCACTGAGAAAGTCGGCAAACACGGTCCCTTCCCATGGAGCCTGGGGAAGGAGGAGAGCAGGAGGGGCGGCGGCTGAGCGGGGCACGGGGGCTCTGAGGGTGGGCCACCTGACCGGCTCCTCGGAGGAGCACGCAGCCTGAGACCCCGGCGACAGAAGGGCCGGCCACACAGCGACCTGGGGAACAGAGCCATGCACAGACACAGCAGTGGGGATTCCCCGCAGAGCAAAGGTGTGAGAAGAGGCGGGAGGAACTGCCTCAGGCTGCGTGGCCGCAGGAGCCCGTGCTCTCCCACCGCCGCGACCCGTCCACTCCGGGAGACCCGGGACTGCCACGCTTCCCTCCGTGGGCCGAACGACCTTCCTTCCGGGTCAGCATCTCCCAACAGTCGCGGTGAGGCTGACTTCTCGACGCTGGCTTGTCTGCAAGGGCTACCACGTCTCCGAGAAAGGCACCAGGACTCAGAGGGCCACTCCCTTCCTCTCCCACGTCCTCCCCCAAGCTTCCCTGGCACCATCAAGGAGAAGCGTCTACCATGTGTTTGACAAGCATGGTTGGTTCATTAAGGAAAAAGCTGGCAGTGTTGAAGGCCCAAATCAAACCAAGTCCTTGTCCAGGGGAAAAGAAAATACAATATTCCCTCCACCTTCTGCCATATTCCTCCACACTTCCACTTAAAAGAAATGTGAGGCGGGCACTGCCATGGCACCATCCCACCATCCAGCTCCCTGCTACTGTGCCAGGGATGGCAGTAGAGGATGGCCCAAGTCCTTGGGCCCCGACACTCACATAGGAGGCCTTGAAGCTCCTGGCTCCTGGCTTTGGATCAGCCTAGCTCTGGCCATTGTGGCCACTTGAAGAGTGAACCAGTGAATGGAAGATCTTGGGACCAGCACTGTGGCATAGCGGGTGAAGCCACCACCTGCAATGCCAGCATCCCATATGGGCACTGGTTCGAGATCTGGCTGCTCCACTTCCGATCCAGCTCTCTACTATGGCCTGGGAAAGCAGTAGAAGATGGCCCAAGTCCTTGGGCCTCTGCACCTACATGGGAGACCCAGAAGAAGCTCCTGGCTCCTGGCTTCTGGCTTTGGATCAACATAGCTCCAGCCATTGCACTCATCTGGGGCATGAACCAGCAGATGGAAGACCTCCCCCTCCCCCGCCCCCGCTGCCGCCTCTGTCTCTCCCTCTCTCTATGTAACTCTGCCTTTCAAATAAATAAATCTTTTAAAAAAATTAAGGCTAATCCTCCGCCTTGCGGCGCCGGCACACCGGGTTCTAGTCCCGGTCGAGGCGCCGGATTCTGTCCCGGCTGCCCCTCTTCCAGGCCAGCTCTCTGCTGTGGCCAGGGAGTGCAGTGGAGGATGGCCCAGGTGCTTGGGTCCTGCACCCCATGGGAGACCAGGAGAAGCACCTGGCTCCTGCCATCGGATCAGCGCAGTGCGCCAGCCGCAGCGCACCGGCCGCGGTGGCCATTGGAGGGTGAACCAATGGCAAAGGAAGACCTTTCTCTCTGTCTCACTCTCTCTCACTGTCCACTCTGCCTGTCAAAAAACAAACAAAAAAAAAATTAAGAAAAGCAAATCACCTGGGCTGGTTGCAATGATTTCAGGTGTGGTTCATGCCAGACCCAATCCCGTAGCCAGCACTCTTGCCCTCCCAACGTCTGCCATCACCTCCCGCCTGCCCCAGGCCCTCGGCTGAGCCCCGGCAGCCACTTAGCAAACTGTCCCTGGCAGCAAACACGGCTGAGCTCCCTGCTGGAGCTGGGGGTGCTGTGGCTCCCCTGGGCCTCAGGCTGACGCACTCCACGCGTGGCGAGGTGACACACCCAGCCTCAGAGCGCAGGTCAGCACACTTGCTGTTTTTCAAGTCGGGCTTCTCTGGGACACAGCCCCAGCTGTGCACTTCTGTGTTAGTGACAACTGCTCTCCCAGGACAACAGCCAAGTGTGCCCTTGTCACAGAGATGGTTTCCGGTCTCTGAAAGTCTGCAGTGCAGGGATACAGCAGGTTCCCACCGCCATCTGTGCCGCCCCCAAGTACCGTGTGCACACCGTGGGGGTGGACCTGCATCTGCGCCCGCCCGGAGCCCAGAACTCTCTTCTCCCGCTGGGTTCCAGCGCCTACACAGTGCTCTCTGGCCTGGGCCCTGGGATCAGATGTTTCCTGCCAGACTTGAGTGTGCGCCCCTGGGAAGGAGGGGACCCACACTCGAGTCGGGCCAGCCCCATGCTCACTGCACCGTGAGGGCTCTGAGGCTAAGACCCTGCTGGGCCATGTGCTTGTGTGACAAGACCGTCCCAGGCCCCAGCAGGCTGCCTGTGGATCTCACCCACAAAAGTGCCTGGAAGAAATAAGAGACTGAAACGAGGAGGTGGGAGAGGAGGCTGGGAGAGTGAGTGTGAAAACGCCCCTGTGGTCCTCGCCTTCCCTTTGTCCAAGCCTAGTGCTCTGTGAACAGAAACCGCGGCCGACGCCCGCTCTGCACCGGTCCTGGCCTCTCTCCCCCGTGTGGGTTTGCTGTGCTCCCAATCAAAGGAAGCCCTGGGCTCTCCACTCCCAGGACCGTTCCCAGATGAAAGCCCCTCTAATCCTCCCCGCTCAGAGGCTGGTTCCCATTGTCGCCTACAGTTTTCAAAAGAGACGGCCACAGGTTCAAGCCTGAGTCAGCTCTGTGACCAGAAATAAAGCCCGCCCAGCTTCTCGTCCTCATCTCTGACACGGGGGGCAGACCAGGGCCCTGCTCTCGCTGCACCCAGAGCCCATCCCTGGGGACAGGCCTCCATCTCCCCACAGCTCACACTCACACTCACCGCGGTCCTCCCTGGCTGTTAGTGACCAGTCCCCAGACTCCCCCGTGCATCTGTTTAGGTCCCACCTGTGGAGCGGGCACCGCGGGCGGGCGGTGACTAAAGCCCTCCCTGCGGTGTGTGAGGCCAGGCACGGCCCCAAGCCTTGCCCCCGCATCAGATCCGCGCGGCGCCGGCCCCGCGTCGGACAAGCCGCTGTCACACAGCGCGCAGGAGGCCAGGGAGAGTGGCAGTGACGGATGACTGCAGCCACCAGCGCCGCTCACACGTGGCACACGCACCGCGGCCCGCACTGCCCGGCCCCAGGCAAGAGCCAATTTGCTCCTGATGACTTCGGAAATGATTCTATTTATCAACAGAACCCTGAGACGCTCAGGCTGTCAATAGCCATGTAAATCGAGACCTGAGCCGAGGGCCATCCCTGTGTGAGTGCTGATGCCACCAGCAGGCAAGGACCACGGGATGAAGACCTCCAGAGGAAGGAGGGAGGGGAGGAGAGAGGAGGGGGGGAGGGAGGAGGGGAGGAGAGGAGGGGAGGAGGGGAGGAGGGGAGGAGGGAGGAGGGAAGGAAGGAAAGGAGGAGGGGAGGAGGGGAGGAGGGGAGGAGGGAAGGAAAGGAGGAGGGGAGGAGGGAGGAGGGGAGAGGGGAGGAGGGGAGGAGGGAGGAGGGAAGGAAGGAAAGGAGGAGGGGAGGAGGGGAGGAGGGGAGGAGGGAAGGAAGGAAAGGAGGAGGGGAGAAGGGAGGAGGGGAGGAGGGAAGGAAAGGAGGAGGGGAGGAGGGGAGGAGGGAGAAGGGGAGGAGGAAAGGAAGGAGGACGGAGGAGGGAGGAGGGGAGGAGGGGAGGAGGGGAAAGGGGAGGAGGAGGGGAGGAGGGGAGGAGGAGGGGAGAAGGGAGGAGGGGAGGAGGAGGGAGGAGGGAAGAGGGGAGGAGGGAGGTTGTTTAAATTCAGCTTTCCTCCCCAGGAATGTCATAAAGGGCAGCACCTGTTTCTGGGACTGACTTTAGAGATGACCAAAATGAAGGATCCATAACTTGAAGGAACTTGCCCACGCCCACGTGCACCAAAGGGAATGGAGGTGGAATTACAACTCATAGACAAACTATCATTGTGCTGGAGCAGTGGCTTTCAACTAGGGGCGATTCTGTCGATTTCTGGTCCATGACTTGGGGAGAAGGGGCAGGTGCTGCCGGTATCCCGTGGACAGAGGCCAGCGACGCTGCTGAAGGTTCTATGACGCCCAGGACAGCCACCTACAAGCAAGAACTACGGCGGCGAATCGCCGAGCAGGAGGAGGCTTAGCACCACCCCCTGCTCACTTACACGCTGTCCGTGCCTGCTCCTGCGCGCTCGTGACAAAGGCTGCATCGTCCACACAGCCTGGAACAACTGCTGACCCACCTAGAGACAGGCCTCTGCGGGCCTCTGCTCTGTAGCCCAGGCCACCATGGCACAGGGGCCGAGGAGCGGCACGGCCCGGTGGCCAGAGGCGCCCCGTGATCTCCAGGGAGGACCGTGCCCTGGGCTCAGATGTCAGTGCAGTCGCAGGGCGCAGCAGGCCTGGGCCGAGTGGCTGGAGAAGAGACCCATGGAGCCACGAGGGGGCCTCTGAAAGCCTGGGGAAACCCCCCCTCGCTGCAGTTGCACTCGCTCACTCAGACGGCTCTGAGTGGGCATCCACCTGACGCAGCGTCAGAGCCCCGTGACAGACGGCTCTGACCTCACAGCCACCGTGCGCTCCACCTGCCAGACGGAAGCAGCCACGGGGAACCCAGACCCGCCCTGTCACTTCGTCAGTGTCCCTTCCAGGTCCCTGGACTCACACTGGGCCCAGGCGAGCTCCGGCCTCACGGGAACCTGGCGGGCGACAGAAGCAAGGGCAGGCACCCACCTCTTTCATGTCTTCAGGATCCGAGTCCTTGTCAAGCTCTTCATCACTGTCATCTTCAAACTCCTCTGGGGCGGGGGGGGGAGAGAAGAGGGTGAGCCGGGCCCCTCGCTCGGGATTCAGACCTTCGGCACTGTTTCCTCCCACAGACCAGGGACCACCACCAGGTGCACGGGCTCCTGACACGCAGGAGCTGATTGGCACGTGGGCGCCACATCACCAAGTCCGCGCCCCCTCCCCCGCAGACGCAAAGGGAGCGCGGAGCGGCCATCGCTGGAGTCCCCGCCCCATTCACAGGCACTCCCAGGATGAACGGCACCAAAGCCTACAAACCGTGCCGTAACCTGGAGATCACCTGCACTGGGCCCCTAATCTGCAAGTGCAGGTCACTCAGAAGGTCCCCACACAGCAGCCCGTGCCACTGCGGCACAATCGTGTCCAGGAAGTGCGTTCTGTGGTGGAAGACAAAGCTGGAAAGACCAGGGTACGAGGTGGACGGAGACCTCGCTGCAGACTGAATAATCCGCTAACAGACCCCCTGAGACCAGCCCGGGGTCTGAAGCAGCAGGCGTTCCATTTCCGTGTCACCTTGGGGTGAGCGAACCCCACCAGCAGCCAGCGCAGGGGCAGGCGACGGCAGCTGATGGCGGAATGGCGAACAGGTCTTTTTTAATCGGCCAGATGACCATGCAGGCCGTCAATAGCTTCCAGGCACCCTGGGGACCGCTGATAATTAAGAACCAAATGAGTGAGCTCGGTGTTTGTTCGCCCTGTGTATGAAAAATGGCTTTTTCATCTATATCCATAATTAGCTTATTAGACAACCACGGTTGGCTGGTGAAACAACAGATTCTAGTTTTACCCACGTTCCTCTACTTACAGCCAAAAGGCACACGCTCATCCAGAGCTCAGGGCCGCCCACTTCTCTTACCGTCCGTCAGAGCCGGGGGAGGGGAGGGGGTGACGCTCCCAGGGACCGGGGCGGCATAGGCGCAGCTGGCTGTGGCCAGGGGCAGGGCGCTCCTCGGGCAGCACTGTCGCAGGATCTGAAGCATGGCCGAGACCACGGGCTCCACGCTGCTGTCCTCCAGGTGGCTCTGGGCGAGGGGAGAGTGCGTCAGACCCCACCGTGCAAGCGCGCGCCCCTCGTGGCCAGAGGTGTCTCAGGGCGCGCGCCACACACAGCCTAAGTGCACACACACGCCCTGCGTGGGGCGGTCCCGTGTGAACACGCGTGTGAAGTTTTCTCTACTACAGAGCCTGCATTTGTATTTCTCTTTCACAGCTCATATGGGATCGGAATAAATTTAGCCTGAAAATAGACTCAAAATTATTTCAAGGGAGGCTTCACGCAAAGCAAGCCATTGTCCAGGGTAGCGGGAGGCGGGGCGGGGGAGCCAGCTCCCGCTTCAGCCACCCACGTGTCGGCCTGAATTACTGCCCAAGTTAGGGAACAAGAGCCGAGTCGACGCGAGTCTGTCTTCTCTCTCAGCCGCTCTCTGAAGAGAACACATGAAGGGGAAGGATGAAATATGAAATCAGACGCGCAGGCTGCATCCCAGGTACCTAAATGCGGCCGCGTGCCTTTGGCTCAACACACACAGTGCCGGTCCCTCTTGGTGCCGCCCAAAGCAAAGAAAAATCGGGTTTGCAGACGGAGCTTTTTGACAGTCATGGAACATGACAAGACCTTTCTTTTCAGACACTGAGAAAAATGTACAAGCAGGTCTTCTAAGCTGAGAGCAAGCGCAGGGTGCACATGGTGTCTCCTCAGTGTGTCGGTGGGCGCTCGCTGAGACGGGCTGGCCACTGCGGGCCATGCGGGTGCAGGGCCCAAGGACCTGGGCCACCCTCCACTGCACTCCCGGGCCACAGCAGAGAGCTGGCCTGGAAGAGGGGCAACCGGGACAGAATCCGGCGCCCCGACCAGGACTAGAACCCGGTGTGCCGGCGCCGCAGGCAGAGGATTAGCCTAGTGAGCCGCAGCGCCGGCCATGTATTTGTTTTTAATTTAGAAATCAAAGCAGATCGCATCATGCCAGCCCACTCCCCTGCAGCAAACCGGCAGGGGGAGGATCCAAATCCTTTCTCACATCCTGGGAAGCTCCAACCGTCCGGCCACACCTGCCTTCTCCGCCACCTGTGCCTGACTGCAGGGAACTGGCCCCAGCTCTCAGGAGCAAGCATGACACTCAGGCCCCGCCTTGTCTCCGACTCCACCGCAAGCCGCCTCAGCCCTCCTCACCACGCGCTGGCCACGCAGCTCCTGGGGTCTCAGCCGGCCCTGCCCCGCCACCTCCCCGCTCCTGGGAGCCCCCAGTCCTGACCCGGTGTCCCTGGCTCACCCGTGTCCTCTGGATCTCGGGTCAGGGGAGCTGCTCTCTGAGGCCCACCCGGCTCGGCCTGTGTCCCCTCCCCCCACAACACCTGGGACACAGGTGGGGAAATCCCAAGGCCACCAACAGAGGTGGCAGAGCTCCCTGCAGGGACCGCCCTCCACGGGAAAGCTCCGCGGGTGTGGCCTTCCGGCTCACCCTGGCCCTTCTCCCCATTGCCGCCTCCAGATGTCCTGCTGCTTCTCTCACCCCCGTTCCTCCCGGCCACATCCTGGCAGCTCCCCGGACAGCGCACAAAGCACCAGTGTTCCCTTGGCTGACGCAAGACTTCCTTCTGAGGCTTCCCCAGGCAGCTGAGACCAAGAGGGGCTCTCCTGCCCTGCGCGGTTTGTGCACCGCCTGCACAGCCGCGACCATGCCCTGCACCTGTGTGCGACAGGTTGCCCAAGACCGGTCCTCACCACCTTGGCTGTGGCCCTCCTGTGAGCCCCAGCCCCAGCCCCACTGCTGAGTGACCAGGGAACCATCTCAGGCCCGTCTGAGCTCCGGGACGGGCTCCCAACTCCAGGCTGGCAACATTCCCTTCTGGACTTGGAGCCTCCCCCGGGCACACGGCGCTACAGTCGCTGGTCCTGCTGGGCGAGAGGCTCCGGGGCACTGAGGCCGGGCCTTCCACTCTCTCTGAGCCACGGTGACTCTGGCTGTGACCTAAGCAGCTCACTCTCAGGGTCCCAGGCACCTGAACCGCCAGCATCGGCCCAGAGCCTGCTGGAAACGCGGACCCTGCGCTCCCCAGAGCAGCTGCGTTACGCACTCTGGAATCTGCACTACAGCACGTCCCCCGGGGCTCTCGCGCACGCTCAAGTGTGACAGCCACGAAGTTTAGCAACGCTTTGGGTCTCTGACACTGTGTGCCTCCAACAAGCGGTCTCCTCGTGGCCACTCCAACCTGCTCCTGCAGACCGAGGACGCCTCATAGTCTTTCAGGGCACCTGCAGGGGTCTTCTCACAACCTATCCCCCCAACCCCCCAGGCAAGTGGAGCTCAAGCAGGATCCTTGCTCCCGGTCTGTGTGGGGAGGGGAGGCTCGTGGGGCGGGGCTGGGGGCCGGGCAGCTGGGAGGGGCCAAGGCTGTGGGAGTGCTCAGGGTTCCTCCTGGACCCAGCTCATGTCTGCCGCGTGCGTGATGACATCACAAACAGCAGAAGCAGGACAGGGTTTATTGTAAAAGTTTTAAGTTTACAAAACCAAATTGTAACACAGAGTCCTGTGTACCCCGCCCCCTCCCGCCCCGGGAATCAATATTCAATGCTCAGATGGGAGCGTTTTTTCATTTCAGCTCCCACGTGTAGGGGCACAGGCAGCATGTCTGTGTCCGGCCCATTTCACTCACCGTGGCATCCTCCAGTGCCATCCACGTGGCTGCCGGTGCCAGGCTTACCTCTCTCTGCAGCCGAGTAATATCCCACCGCGTGCCCCGTCGTTCCCGCCACCCGAGGAGGAACACCTTCACTGTTCCAGCTTAGCCCCGGTGAACAGTGCTGATGTCCGTGGTGGAGCAGGTGTCTCTGGGATACCATGAGCTCCTGTCTTGGGGATTACACACCCAGCAGTGCACCTGCGGGACTACTGGCAGCTCCAATTCTAGATTCTAAGGAACTCTCCACCCTGTTTCCCACAGGCGCTGCACCCGTTTACATCCCAGCGACTGTGTGCCAGAGCCCCCCTCCCCACTCTCACCAGCGCGTGCTACCCGCCATGCTGACAAGGGTGCGGCAATATCCCACTGCGGTTTTGATTTGCATTTCCCTCATGACTGAGGATACTGAGAATATTTTTGCATGCGTTTGTTGGCCATTTGCGTTTCTTCTTCTGAGAAATGTCTGTGCAGGTCCTTTGCCCATTTCCTAACTGGCTTGTTCGGGTTTTCTTGCTGTTGTCGAGTGTTCTGAGTTTCTGATCTATTCTGGATACTCGTCCCTTGTCAGATCCCTTGCAAGCGTTGTCTCGCATTCTGCTGGACGTCTCCGCTCCGGCGACGGCTTCTCCGCCGTGCAGACTTCGGAGTTGGACAGAATCCCGTTTGGCTGCTTTTGCTTTTCTTTCCTGCGCTTTCAGAGTTTTATCTAAGGAGTCATCACCAGCACCAATGTCTTGAAGTGTTTCCCGCGTTTTCTTCTAGAAATCTCATAGTTTTCCATCTTACATTTAGGTCTCTGGTCCATCGTGAGTTGATTTCTGTACGTGGTGACAGGGATCCAGTTTCCTTCACACGCACACACACACACACACACATCCAGTTTTGCCAGGATCATTTATTGAAAGCACTATCCTTCCAAAAATGTATGTTCCGGTACGTTTGTCAGAACTCAGTAGGCTGCATGTTCATGATTTAGTGTATGGGCTTTCTATTCCGTTCCACTGACCTGAGTGCTGATTTTAGGCCAGTACCACGCTGTTTTAACTCATGTAGTTTTGTGGTATGTTTTGAAACCCTATCTTGGGATGCCTCCAGCTTCCTATTTTTTTGCTCAGGATCACTTTAGCTATTCAGTGCTTTTTGTGACTCTATGTGAATCTGGGGACTGTTGTCTTCTAATTCTATAAAAACGTCATCAGCATTTTGCTAGGAATTGTATTGAATCCATAGATTGCTTTAGATACTATAGACATTTTTTAAAACTTATTTATTTGGAAGACAAAGTTACAGAGAGAGGTAGAGACAGAGAGAGAGGTCTTTCATCTGCTGGTTCACTCTGCAAATGGCTGCAACAGCCAGAGCTGGGCCCACCCGAAGCCAGGAGCCAGGCGCCCCCTCGTGGCGAGGGGCGTCCTCTGCAGCTTTCCCAGGTGCATTAGCAGGGAGCTGGATGTGAAGTGGAGCAGCCGGGACTCGACCCAGCGCCCATATAGGATGCCCGCCACAGTGTCGGCCCCAACACTTTAACAATACTAAGTCTTCCAATACACGAGCAAGGAATTTCTTTCAATATTTTTGTGTGTATTCTTGATTCAGTTCATCAATTTTTACAATTCTCATTGTAGCTATCTTTCGCTCTTTGGTTACATTATTCCTAATTTTTGTAGCTCTGTGAAAGGAATTTATTTCTTGACTTCTGTTTCAGCAAGATCATGGGTGTATCCAAATGCTGCCTCTTGCTGTATGATGACTTTGCATCCTGCAACGTTCCTGGCTTGGTTTATCAGTCCCAGCAGCCTTTTGGTGTTGAGGCTTTTCCATGTACAGTACCATGCCATCTGCAAACATGGAAGCTTTGACTTCTTCCTTCCAAATTCCGATGCCTTTATTTCTCTCTACCCTCCAATCGCCCTTGCTAACACTTGCACTACTATGTAACAAGAGGCTGGAAGCGTACAGCCTTGTCCTGTCCCAGATCTGAGGGAGGGAGCTTCCCGCGTTTCCCACCCCCTGTGCGCTGGCTGGTGGTGCATGAACTCTGAGATACACTTCTTCCGTGCAGTCCCCACCACGCCATCCGCGTCCCCACCACGCCATCCGCGGCTTTACCTTCGTTTCCCTCTGCTCTCACGCCTGCACCTGGCTGCCCACGACCATTACTTTGAACTCTGTGTCCGGCGTCTCCTCCAGATCTACTGGATGAGCACCGTGGGCCGCCGCAGGTGTCGTCTTCTTGCGTCCTCAGGACTCCTGCGCACGCGGCACAAAAGCTCCTTTTCCTAAGGAGTAGTTCTCACGGGAAAGTTTTTATTGGGATGGAACGGGGGCGTCCCTTGTTTTGGACGGAGTCGTGGCTGGGCCCAGACACGTGACGTCCCAGTGACTTCTCCAGTGGCGCAGGGACAGCCGTGTCTACGAGTGCCGCAGCGTCTGCCCTCCGCGGTCCGTGGAGACAGTGCTACCTCTGACGCCAGTGTCCGGGGCTGGGTGTCGCGTGAAGACTGCAGCCATGTGTCTGGTGCTGTGGGACACGGAGGAGGCCGTCCCCTTGTCCCACCAGGCAAACCTGAGCGGCACCAGGAGCTCTGGCCCTCAGACTGCATCACGCGGACAGGGCCTTCCCCAGGTCCTGCGTGGTGTGACTACTGCTGTGGCTTGCAGCACCGAGAGACCAGGCAGTGGGCCGTGTCAGGGGACTCGCCCCAGGCCCCCGGGTGCACACAGGGCACGCTGAGGCAGGAGTGGGTCTGGAGCACTGGGGTGCAGCAGGCTCACCCCAGGCCCTGCCCTGTGTGTCCTGATGACCCTGAACAAGTCGTGCTCACAGTCCCAGTCCTGGAGCTGCAAGATACCTGGATCTTACCCGGATCGCATGGTGTCAGTGCCAGCTGCGCTGGGCTCGTGGCTGGAAGCCTCCAGCCCGAAGCAGAGGGATTCAGGCAGGGCCTCCTGGGTCCCCAGATGAGTGCAACTTACCCAGGGGAGCAGCACGTCACGCAGAGCACGCAGCTGTAGCTGCAGGGCCGAGCCCAGAACCCTGGCGGCTGCAGGATTCTCGGGCTGGAAAACGCCCTGGCTGTCTCCGGGGCCTCAGGCTGCCAAGGGGCTGCTGGCTTCCCCCAAACAAGTGGGACTTAGAGCTACCAGCCATCGCCCAGGTCTGCCACTCTGGGCAGGGAGAGGCAGCCTGAATCCTTCAGTGGAGCCAAGTAGTTGCTCAGACCCCAGCGGGCCTCTAGACTGGAGTTAAGGCCGTGAGGACGAGGACTCTAGGGCTGCCCCTGTGGCACAGCGGGGCGCTCCGAGTCTCTGCTCACCTCTGCCCGGCAACATGGCAGCAGCCCCGGCGGCGGCAGTGGGCAGCGCGCTTTGTTCCTCGCTCTCCGTGGCCTCAGGGTCTCTGGGCCTGGGCACCTCCGTGCCACAGGGTCCCCTCAGTTCTCACACAGAACCCCTTGCCCAGCAAGATGGCGTCCCAGGCCAGGCACGGCGGGGCAGCAGCAGGGGGAGCGGCAGCGCCAGGCAGAGTTGGTTCTCTCTGCTGGTGTTCAGCGCCTGTGCCATTCGCAGTTATCATCATTTCCGCATCACGGAGAGGACAGAGAGCTGTCCTCCATCCACTGGTTCACTCCCTAAGTGGCCACGGCAGCCGGGTGTGGGCCAGGCTGAAGCCAGGAGCCAGGAACTCCGTCTGGGTCTCCCACGTGGTTAAGGGCCTTTCCAGGTGCATTAGCAGGGAGCTGGATTGGAAGTGGAGCAGCCGGGACTCAAACGTGCACCCACACAGGCTGCAGGCGTCACAGGTGGTGGCTTAACCCCCTGCGCCACAGCGCGGGCCCCTGGCGTCACCTCTTTCCTGTAGCCTCCCCCTCAGTTCCAATATCTTACATAGAGAGCCCTTTTCCTGGCCAGATGGCATCTCCCACCGTGGCGTCTGCCTGCCCGTGGGGCTTTGCCCTGCAGGTCCGAGGTGCTGTGGGCCACAGCCAAGCCCCAGCAAGGGCTCACGCTCAGCAGGAAGTGAGGAATGACCAGCCCCTGTAAGCACGCGGCATCTCCACGTAGCTATGGCGTCCACACAACCACACAGACGCTATTGTTTCCGCTTTTCCCAGAGTTGAGGCCCAGGGACGCTGGGTGGCTGTCCTGCAAGTCACAGGTGCAGGGCAGGGCTGGGACATGGGCCAGGGCCCCCACCCGCTGCTCCTCCCAGAGCCTGCCCCCCACAGGCATGAGGGGGCAAGTACACGTGTGACCCAGCAGGAGCCGGACCACAGGCAGGGCGCCCCGCTCTGTGGGGACGGCCTCTCTGGCAGCCCGGGGCTGCCATGCGACCCACCTGTGCGTGGCTGAAGAGGAGCTCCATGCCCCCCGCCGCCAGGAAGGCCTCCCTGCCGGAGCGGATGGTGGTGACATTCCTGAGGCAGAGCAGCAGGCCCCGGCGGATCGGCACGCAGGCGGCGGCCGCGTCGTGGCTGTGCCAGTCCTGGTGCAGCCTGAGCAGGCTGGTGACGTAGCCCTGGTTCACCGCCCGGCGGCTGTTGGACTCTGAACACACAGGAGAGGCGGTTTCAGGCCCAGGGTGCCTCTCCCAAGAGACCCAGGGCCCCCGGGTACTGCCCCCGCAGACGGCACCCCAGCCGCCCAAAGCCAACCCCACCAGCCAGCGGCCCTGGCTCGCCACCCTGCGCACAACCTGACTGGCAGCCTGAGCAAAGCCAGCAACCCCCCAGTGACGGACGCCCCACAGAAGATGTGACCCACGTTCCTCAAAGAGTCAGTGTCGTGAGAGGCAAAAGAAAGGACAAGAACGGAGAGACAGAGACCACATGACACATCAGTCAGTCCGCCAGGAGTTCCGCCCTGGGCGTTCGGGGCCAGTGGGAAAAGCTGAGCAAGGCGTGGGGTTGGCGGACGCAGTCGACGCTGACTCTCGGGTTCCATAAACTGTGGTCTCTGCTTTTAGGAAATTCATAACTGCAGTACGCGCAGGTGTGTAACTTATCTCAGGGTGGGGGTGTATGACAGAGAGAGGGGGGAAGGGAGGGAGGGGCCCATCGCACCCTCATCCTGTCAGGAAGCTCGGTGGACCTAGGACATCGCCATGGGTTGAGCCAACCCAAAGGCAGGGTGGGGAGGCAGCCGCCGAGGGAGACCCGGGATCGGGAGGGCTCCCACGCGGAAGAGCGGCTTCCCGCGAGGATGGACGCTCCTTTACAGGTAATCAAGGTGCCGTCGCTGTGGGTCAGGCCTGACTGGAGTCGTCTGAAGCCAGCTACACCTGCCACCTTTGACCCAGCGAAAACCTCCTCCCCATGGCGGGGCCGGGGTGGGGGGGAGTCCTGAGGCATCACCCAGGTGTTGGCCATCCACCGACAAAACCCAGCACACCCCACAGCTGCTGCATGAAACCCTACGGGCAGGGCCAGAGTCGGGATGAGCCCCCCCAGCACCAGACACCACACATAGCCGTAGGGCTCCCCAGAGCGGACTGGAGCTTCACCCACACACCGGCTCCAGCCCCACCTCCTCCAGACTTCCCGCCAGCCCCCAGGTGTCCCCAGGGCCCCCTACTCCCACGGATCTGAGAGTGACACCTGCTTCAGCTACGTCCTGTGTCTCCTGGGTGGCCTCCTCCACAGCCCACTGGCCATCGCACCTGGGGGACCCTCCTGGAGTGGCCGCCTTGGCTTACAAACTCCCCAGAGACCCTCAAGATCCGATCACGACAGGGAGAAGCCGAGTCTGCAGGGGCCTCACGGTCACGGCTATCCAACGCCGCGGCAGGGCAGCTCGACCCAGAGGACGCTCGGCGGGGGCTGGAGCTGGCTGTCTGACCCCTGACCCCTGACCTGACTGTGGCCCAGGCTCTCCGTGCTTCATTGTGGACCCCGCCGCGTCTCTGCACTAACTCCGTGTGTCTGGAGGAGACCCTGCCTCCCCAACACCCCGTCCATGGCTCAAGTTCTCTGGGAGGCGTCGTCTGAGCCCCTCTCGGGCTCCTTTCCAGGTTCAGCTTCTGGGCCGCAGGGCGGCCCCAGAAAGCAGACGCCTGGCTCACAGCTGAGCACCCAGCTGCACGGGGCCTGGGCGGCTGGCGCGGCCTCCAGAGCCCATCTTGCAGCCCTACGTCTCCTGCGGTGCCTCTCACTCCCAGAGCACCGGCGCGGCTGGGATGCAGGGTGAGCCTTGGCCGCGTGCGTGGGGAGGGCCCGGGGCTGCAGTCAGAGGAGCCCCGAGCCACCCTCTCCTGGAGACGGCGAGACTGCGCGAGTGCACAGCCTGGCGTGGGCACCCACGCTTCCTACCAGAGGGAGTTTTCTGCTGCCGGCGGAACGGTCTTCCCGGCGTGTCCAGCACACTCTAAACGGCCAGGCCCGGCTAAGCACCACCGCACAGTCAGTTTTATTTATTTTTTTCTCTCTTGACAACATCTCACTCAGCCGTGACCTTGAACTGAGACGAGCCCTCCGCACACAGCGATGCACTGTGGACGTTAAAAGCGCCTTCCTTGCCTTCGCTAATGAATTATTCTTCTGCATCAAAACATTCCTCTCTCAGGCTGGTCCGGCCACCCAGCGGGAGAGCTCCTGAACGAGCTTCCAGCCCATCCAGCATCTGACGCTTAGGAAACAACGAGGCTGAAGCAAGCGGCGGTAAGGAAAACTGCACCACTGAAAGAAGCCAAAGTGGCCAGGAGCGGGCAGGGCGCGGGGTAGGGCGAGGCTGGGGACTTCGGCCCTTGTCTGTTCCAAGTGGGTGAGACTGACCAACGCCTCCAGCTTGTGACCTTCATCTGCGGCTGTTTTCCAACAAGGGGAAGGGGGTAGTGAAAAGCATCTTTAATTGTCTGGGAGGATAATCCCTTACCAAATCCAGCGATTTTATTCACGGTTTCCTGCTAATCCCCAACACGCCGTGGTGTTTACCAAGTCTGCGACAGCCACGCTCGCTCCCTGACCCCAGCCCGTCGCTGCTTCTCTGAGACGGCTCGGAAAGCCCTGCCCAGCCCAGTGTCTCCAACTCCCAGCGAGACTTGTCCAGCTGAGCAGGAGCCGGTGTGGGGGAGCACAGCACCGAAGGGGCGAGAGGGGCGTGGGGGCCCCGAGGGGAGAACCCTGACGTGCAAGGAGCGGGTTCGGAGACCACCAGCTGGGCTCAGCGCTGGGGGCTCCAGAACCCCACCCCTTGTCTGGTTACATAAACAGCCTCCTCCTAAAATTTGCTCGGAAAAAAATTTCCTGTTGCTTAATTTGATTTTTAATTTCCTGAGAAACACGGCGTCTGTTACACTGGTTGGAGGATGGGAGCGGTGGGCAGAGGGGAGCTCCGGGGTCTTTACGTGTAGCTCAGGCCCTGCCCCGCCACAGAGGCCCCGGCTCCACCGCCCAGGCCCCTGGCCTCGCCTCCACGTCACCTCACCTGACCCCGCTCTGGGCCACCTCCTCCCTCCCTCTGGCACGTGCTCTGGGGGTACCCTTGCTTTCACCCCTCACAGCCCTTCCTTGAGGGTCAGGTGCTTCTCTCCAGCGCTAACCCAGTCGAAGCCAGTTTCACACCCACGCAAACCGGACAGGAAAATGCCAAGGTATCGAAACGGGACCGATAGCTCCATTCGCTTGTTTAGACTTCCCTGTCGTCCGTATCGGCCATGTGTTCCATAATAAACTTGATAATCTGGAGCACAAAACATGCAACCCTCGCCCGGAGCCACAGACGGGCGGCCCGGCCTCCAGGTGTGCGTTCAGGTTGCCATGGTAACTCACGCCACCTCGTGATGCTGGGCACAAGGACCATCTTCACAAAGCGGACAGGAGGGCCCGGCATCCGCCCAGGCTCCAGGCTCGGTGTCTCAGTGACTGTGTCTGCCCACTGCCCGCCTCCCCGTGCAGCCTATCTGGTCTTAGGCAGGGGCACTGTGGGAGCAGGTGCCTCACGCAGGGGGACACAGCCCTGCAACTCCAGGAAGCAGGCACAGAATCCTGTAGACCCCGCCCGTCCTCCCCAAGCTCAGGACCCGTCACTGCCTGCTGGCGCTCTGTGCCGGAGACTCGCCCACAGCCAGGCCCGCCACGCTCTGAGGCACTCGGCAGTGCCTGCACCGAGTTCCCCTGCAAACAAAGCTGGGAACAACCCGGTTCAGGAGAGACAGCGAGACCCTGCGAGTCAGACTCCATTCCTGCGAGGCCGCGCGTGAGGCCGCGAGCTCGCCTCCTGGCTGTGGAGGCCCCACGTCCCACGGCACGGCACAGACAGCCACGGCAGGCGTCGGAGAGCGTGGGCCTGTGTCTCAGCTCTCCCTCCCAGGATTCAACCACAGGCCTCGCTCAGCTGACCCGATTCAGTCACGTCACCGCACCTGGGCACCGGGGCTGGCTGAGGTTTCCACCCTCTCACTGTCAATCACTTTGGGCTTCGGGTGTGTGTTCCGGCCGGAGGCCAGAGGACACGCCACACTCCAACCACAGCGTCCCCCGTGGGCCGAGCAGCACGTGCCACACACTGGGCACTCGGCGCCTGCTGCCCACTCTCCCCTCTCCTCCTGCTGCCCCGCCCATCAGCACCCTCCGTCCACTGTTCCACACCCCGGCCTCTGTTGTGCCAGATGCTGAGGCGGATGGGAACTTCCTCCCACAGCCTTGTGCAAGCAGAGGAGCTGCCGCAGGTCCCAGAGCCACTGGCGAGGGCTTGGCCCACTGTTCACTGCGTGTCACCTCAGTCAAGTTCCCCAGCGCTGTGGTTTCAGGGTGTCCCTCCCAAACTCAGGTGTTGCTGATGCGAGAGCATTAAGAGGCAGGGACTTTTAAGACGGGACCAGGCCATGAGGGCTGCCCCTACTGCAGGAGACTCGGGGCCTCCCAGGAGCGGTCTCCTGCTGCATCCCCGAGCGCGCCTTCCATTCCCTCCCGCCGGCACACGGCAAGTGGGCCCTCCCCAGACGCCACTGCACTTTCCACCTCTGGACCGTGAGAACATGAATTTTTGTTCCCCGTAAATTGCCCAGTTTTGGGTATTTTGTTTCAGCAGCACAAGACGGACTGACACTTAGCCATTCTATACTGTCTTTCCATCATCTGCAGCTGTCACAGCGACACAAACAGACAGAGATGTTTAAGTGTCTGCCTTAAAAGCCCATTCGAAGCACAGGATGCATAGCACAGCCCTGGCATAGTGTAAGGCAAAACAAGCCGTAACCCCCTTCCCAGTGCCAAGGCCCCCAACCCCACTACTTCTCCATGAGAACAGCCCTGGCAAGGTTTCTAAAGAAACCGCCATGGTCTGTGTCTGACCTCTCACCCCGAAGGGCCCCCAATCTTCCGCTGCTGCCCTCTGTCCTGAGACGCCCTGACCACACGCCCCACCTCATCCCTGCACCCTGACAAGGTCAGGTCCACGAGTGCATCTTAGTGGTCCCATCTCTGCCGATATTTACATGTGCTGGGCCCCAATTTCAGAGGAAAAGGCTTAACCCGGGGAGACCCCTCTGGATCCTAAGTGTTCCATGGGCCACCCTTGCTTGTGATGAGACGTGTGAGTAGAATAAACTC